CCCCCTCCCCTCACCTCCACCGGCAAGATATTATAATCATCCTTATCTGTCACAGCGTGCAGACGATGCTGAGCTGACTCGCGTTGCCGGCAGCAAGCAGGGATGCTCTAACCGAGCCACCGCGCAAACCCTGCCCACGGCATCTCTGAGACTCCAGACCCAGCCGCGGCTCGGAGGGGAGGTCTGGACCCCCGGCACCCCACGTCCATGGGGGTCAGGCATCTTCGGATAACCGGGGGGAGGTGGACCTTCCCTAGAGGCGAAATATCCCGGGATGCTCGGGGTGAATCACCGACCTCAGGTCGATTTGGAGTGAGGGAGGCTCGGCTCCCCCCCCCCTGCCGACCCCCCGGGGCGGTGCCACGGCACTAAAAAAACCATGCAGACCCCCAGGGCTGGTCCCGGTGCAGCCCCAGCTGAGTCCCACGGGAAGGGTTGGCCCAGGAGCAGGTCTGGCTCTTGCACCCCTTCCCCAGTGCGTTGCCAAAGCTGTGCCAGCCCAGAGCCCGTGGGCGGGTGGGGGGCAGCACCAGGACCCCCAGCGCCCCGGGAGACACCCTGGCAGGGCTCGCTCCCGTCACAGCCCCAGCCTGGCCTTGGGGGCCAGCAGGACCCCCGGGATGACCGGGAGGGGATGGGAACAAGTGGGGGCTGCAGGGAACAGCCCACAGCTCTGCACTGCGGGGGGCTCAGCGCTGCCCAGCGCAGGCAGGGGCAGGCAGCGGCCCTGCTCCGCCTGGCCAAGGGGACGTGGAGGCTGCAAGAAGAAGCCAAGGGAGCCGGGAGGGGATTGCCGAGCTGGGTTACCTCCAGGGATGCCGGGGCCTGGCTGGAGATGGCGTGCTCATGCTGCCGGCATCTCCTGGCATCTCCACCCGACCTCCCTGAGCATCTCTGCCTGGCTCTGCCTGCGCCTGGCAGCCCACGGCCGCCTGCCGCCCACCGCGCCCCAGCGAGCTTCCTCTTGAGTCATGGAAAATCTTCAACCTGGAGAGAGTTTTGGGGCAGGAAACTCGCAGGGGAACCGAGCCCCCCGCTCCGGGGTTGGGGACCAGAGCATCCCGTGGCTCCGGGCAGCAGCCCAAGGGCGGTGACAGCAGGAGGGGACGGGAGTTCTCCTTAACCTCACCAAGCTGCCTGGGAAGCCCAGTCGTCCGTGTGTCCCCCCCCCTGCTCCCCAGGCACCAGCCGGGCGCTCTCCTTTCAGCAGAAATGCCACCGGGTCAATGGAAAACAGCTGCCTTCGTTAGCATGCATGACCTGGATTTGGAGGAATTAATTAGGGCACAATCAATTAACGCCTCTCCCTTCCCCGGTCCATCACCGCCCGTGCCCCACGTGCCCTCGCAGGGGATATATGGTGTCCCTGGGGTGCCAGCAACTGGGAGAAGCAGGGACATGCCCGGATGAAACCTCCCCGGTCCCCATCCCGTGGGGTCATCACGGCGCTTCGGGCGCTGCCGTGGTCCGCGGGGCATGGCGGCGCGGCGCGGCGCGGCACGCCATGGCGCGGCGTGCATCAGCAAGGAGCTCCTTTGCAGGAGCCGGCAGCACGGGCAGCGCCCGCCACGACACGTTTCCTGCCCCTGTGCAGCGGTGCCGCTCGCCTCGACCGGTGACCGCAGGCGGTGGTGAGGATGGCGGCGCAGCCGGAGCAGAGCCGGAGCAAGGCGGCAAGGAGGGAGGAGGGAAGCAGCCGCCGGCACGGGGAGGCTATTTTTGGCAAGGACCGGTGTTACGTGAGAGCGGCCTCAGGTCTCCCCACAGCAGCGAGGGTGGGATCCAGCCCTCGTGGGAGCTTGGGCTGTTGGGTTTAGCGGCCGTCGCTGGTTTTCCCCGCTGCAATCCAGCATGCCGGCTCCCGAAACAGCTCACCGGCACCAGGGAGCCGCCGCCGGGGCTGGGATTTCCCCTGGTGAATGCCGCCAGCTCCGACCACCCAGAACGCCCCCCCAACGCCCCCCGGCTCGTGCCCCCCGGCTCTCCTTTGGGTGCCAGCTCCGGGTGCCCGGGGGCTCTCGCTCGGCCACGCTGCCTTCCAGCCACCGGCAGCTTTGTGGGGACCCAAGGGACGGCTGGGGTCCCCCCGACCCCCCTAGCGCTGGGTACATTCA